GGGGGTAGTTCCTCTTCCATTTTTCGATTTGAGAACGCCTTCCATTAGTTCGTGTCGAATTTCGAAACTTTTTCCATAAAACGCTCCCATAAAGTACCCTGGGATGTGGACTTCAGCACATAATTCGACCGGCGTTCGTCATCTGCATAGCTAAGAAGCAAATATCCCGAGTTTGAACCTAATCGGGAATTTACACCTACCTAAGTCTCCTTGTTAGTGTCGGCACGCAGGGGGTAGCGCAACACTGCCACCCGCTGGGGCGAGGAGCAGACGAGTGGAGGTGGTAACAATTATTGGCTCTCACCGCCTGGCTGAACGGCCCTTGTCTGTCCTGCGGTGGCAAGTGTTGTCCTGATGCACAGTGCCATCTGTCCTTGCAGGCTGGCCTGTCCAGGCCGGTCGGGGGCACCGGGCACCCAACCCAAAGCTCACGCACCCACCCACCCCAGCCGTGGGCAGTCCCCGACGTGAGGGCCTGATAACGGCTCCCACGCCGCGGGCGGGCTTAGGCCTATAGGACCGGGCCCCGACTCGAGCTTCCCGCTACAGTGTGAGCGGGTGCCGACCGGGCGCACATGCAATACACACACAATACATTATGCAATTTGTAGTGCGTAAACGTGCAGAATTATAATCAGCCGTAAGAGTATGCACAAATTTTATGCATCATTGTGTGCGAATTGTTCATAACTATGCACAAAACTGTACATAGTAATTAATTGTGCATCAATAGTTGAGTGTGTGTATGGTGGCCCGTGAACAGACCACGAAATATTTAATCGAATATTTTGGCATACTTTGCCGCGTGCAGCTGTCTGGGCGTACCGATAATACCTTGTGAAGGATTTGGCTGGCTCTGTAAACCTTCAAAGGATTAAAGGAATATCTTCACTAATTCAACGGATTTTCTTCGCATTAAAAAGGAAATCGTTCGCTATTACCGTCTAACGTCTCTGATTTCCGAGGTGCGATGCGTTGTGAGCGCGAGATCCTGGCCTACAGATGTGTGTGTGTGGGGGGGAGGGGTTGCTTTGGGGCTGCCTACTCGTTTGTTTAGGTTTGACATTAGGGTTGACCTTATCATTACAGTTTACTGAGAGCTCTTTTATTCTATTCATTATTACAAGAGAAGATGTTATGGAAACAATTATTAATCAGTTCGCCGTCGCCGTATAACTTTACAACAAGTCTAATAGCCTATAATACTTAATATATACTAAATATGAATTGGTGAAATAAATTCTACACACGCTGCCCAACAAAACTATAAATGATCGCGTGTCTTTTTGAGTAAACTGTCGTTTTGACACTTAAATAATAGCAGTTCGCGCAACATACACTTTAAATTGTAGAGAATACTAGATATCACTCCCCCTTTCCGACTCTCTCTTCGTCAATCATCCCCCCCCCCCACACTTCCCTCCTTCTACACTACACCTCTGCGTTTTGACTTAAATCTACGTTACGTACGTAGTGACCTCAGAACTCCATCGCACAGCCTATATCACAGCGACCTCACGCCTGTCTCTCTCAGAGCGCTGCCAGTGCCGCGAGGCACACCACGGTAAGGGCAGTCGCCCTGTTGGTCCACGCGCTGTTCGGTTTCGCCGTAGTCCCGGGCGCCGGACGCGGAGGGCTCTTGGTCGTAGGGGCCTCGGTCGAGGCGGTCGTAGGAGTGCCAGTCGAGTCGGTCGTAGGAGTGCCAGTCGAGCCGGTCGCAGGAGTGCCAGTCGAGCCGGTCGCAGGAGTGCCAGTCGAGCCGGTCGCAGGAGTGCCAGTCGAGCCGGTCGCAGGAGTGCC